TTGTCACGCCATAAACACACAGTGCATGGATGAGAAGGTGGAGAATTTATGAAATCTATAGAAAAATTCAAGTAACTCCACGGAAGTCCAGAGAATTTCAATGAAGTTCAAAAGTATTTACGAGAATTGAGAGCTTCAGGAAAGCTCCGACAACATCAAGACACATCAGAGAATCAAAGGGCAGTTCAAATAATTTTATGAAAATTACAGTGTTACGTTTTAGCTTGGTTCGTATTATTGCTCCTATGGTCAGCACTAAACTGGTGTCGGAAACACAATAAAATGAGTAGATCCGATCGAACGTGCAGCAGTGAAACTATGCCACATGGGAGGCATCGCTTGAAAGCGAACGAGGATCGCAAATTATTTCGCAAACACCATTCTTCAGGGATTTTGCAACCCGCATTGGACTCGACAAAAGACAGAAGTGGAAAGGTTGCCGAGCACGCAAAAAAGAAACGGTGTCAGTCGAACAGTCTTTTTTTTTGGCCGTCGCGAGGGCGAGTAGAGTGCGTAGCGCAATTTATCGTCGCGCGGGCTGCTGTTTCGATAGTGGTTAAAGCTTCGATCGGAATCCGACGGTTTCTGGGAAGTCCAGCAGCGGTTAAAAGAATCGGAACGAAAACAGCCCTCTCGGAGACTGCGATGAGCTGAAGGTGGGTACTGTGGACGTACAATAGCTGGAAGCCATTTTGATATGTTACTTGGTATAGATTTCGTCACACCAACCACACGTACTGGCAACGAGAAGCGTCAAGACGCACGAAAAAAGAAATCGACGGCAAAACGTGCCCTCGAACGTACCATCAGCGCAACAACCAGCTAACGCAGATCAACCACTCGATACCAAGACGCGAGAGTCCGGACAGTGCCTGACGGCGGTGAATATCTGCGTTCGAAACCCGAAGCCTTCAAATGAAGTAAGTTCCTCAATGCTAGAGGTCCGTCGCATTGGAACTAACGGAAGTCGTTCCAGGGCTTTTTCTGTTATAGGCTTTCAGCTGCTCATCGGATAGAGTCATCTTATCATCGTGCGACGGTGCTTGCATCGAAGTCCGCAACGCACGTGGAACCCTAAAGCGAGGTGGAGCCCTGTTGGAGGTTTGTGCCATCGAGGCGACGGGGCTCGCCACCAGCAGCCAGGCTCGACCAGCGGTAAGGGTGCACCCGGCCGGAAAAGTGAGTACTCACCAGAAGAAGACATTATAGTTAGAAAGAAAAGATGGATTGATTAGGGAGAGGATGCAGGGAAGACAGAATTGGTAGGAGTGAGTTGAAGGATCATGCGGCGTCATGAGGAGAAAAGTGTCGGACCTATGGGGGAGCAATAAATGCACGTGAAACATTAGTCTGACCATCTTGATTTCGTTGGTGTACTTTCCCTCCATGGATAGGTAGTTTGCCCTACCATACATGAGAAGTGCAACAACAGGTACCTTAAAGAAGCTTCGAGAAACTCAGAGAATTTCCGGAATCATCAGCAAAGCTCCACAAACCATACAAATTTGAAATTGCTACTCCTTGTTTGCTGGTGCTACTACAAACAGAGAGTAGCAATTTCAAATTTGTATGTTTTGTGGAAGCTGACATTTGTGCCTTTGATGTTTCACGCTAAGGCTTCCTTAGAGTATCACCTTAAGGGTGTTAGTACTTCAAAAAATTTCGAAAAATTAGCTTTAGTTATAGAAAACCATTAAAATCATAATTTAAAAAAAATGCGAGAAGTTTTGGCAAGCACCGATTTCAGAAATTCAAGAGATCATCTAAGAAATTTACTTTTCATCTCTTAGGTCACTTTTAGTTTAGTCACTTTTTTTCAACTATAAGTCGTTATTTGTTCACTTATTTCATCTACATGGTCACTAAAATCACTATTTTTGCCAGCCCTGCTCAGCAAAGCACTTCGTACATTTAATTTTATGCGACACTATTTTTTGGATTAAAACTGAAAGTGTCCATCTCACTGCCATCAAGATGCCTCGTAAACGCAAAACCGTCCATTTGTTGTAAACCATTTCGCCTCCCCGCAGCAAAACTTAGGTGAGCATTGCTCAGTGAGTGAAGACCGAGGTGAAGACACCAAATCTGCATCAGTAAGAATAACAACAATAAGCTTCACCAATGAAACAGAACGCTGACTGCGGCAGACAGAGAGAAATAAACTCTCTTTCCCTTTGTCGTGTCTCTGTATCCGTATCAGTAAAATATTGCTCAACCATTGGCTCAGTCACTCAGTGATTTAAGCCGCCTGAAACTCGAGCGGCACTCTCACATTGCCCGAATTTCCTCGCCACCGGCTTGGATTTGTTCATTTCATAGAATGAACGGATGAAGGTGTAAACGTAAAGGGCACTCTTTCGCTTTTCTCTTAAAGCGGTAGGTGACTGATGAATAGAGACAGTTATTTTCAGTTTCAAATCGCGGCTTCGCTCATCAATCAGCAACATTGCTGCTAAGACATTATTTTCGGCTTTTGCAACTTACTAGTAACGGTTTTGACGTAAGACTACGTCTTTGTTTTCTATATGAGGGTACACTTTGCGAGTACGAAAAATGAACATGTAACGAAAAGTAGTCAGGTTTTGAACGGTTATAACTCGGCTATTTCATGATACATTTCCTATATTTTTGCATTAATCGATCGACATTTTCTCTACGGGAAACTATTGATTATCAACAATATTCTTTTGAAAAAATGATGAACGTCAAGCATCGTCTAGAACATCATGAAAATCAAAGAATCAATTAGTAACGGGCATGCATCGCTACTCCGCAACTTAAATATATTTTACCAACAATGTTTTTTTTTTAATTCTTCAACTCATTAGGAACATTCTCCGGTATCTGCATGTCATCAGAAACGATTTTCGGCAGCTGCTACCTATTTGGAACGGAACGATTGTGGGCTTCTGTAGCTTATCATAAAATTAAATCTCCAATGCTGAAAACATTGAAAAGTTTCATTCAGACTTTTCTGGTTATTTTCTGTTTCAGACCAGCAACTGTTAATCGCTAGTATTAAGAAATAATTTTCCGAAATTCAGCCTAATAAACCAGCATTGTTTCAGAAGCTATGTTGCCATTCGATCGATAAGTTGGTGCATTCGATAAACCATGTCAGCTTTGCTAATGAAAGCCAATTTAATCTATGACATTATGATTATGGAGTTTTTTTTACTCGGTTTCCATTGTCTATTCCAAAACAAATGAAACCCATTTATTAAATTGCAAACCCAGCTCCGGATTAAAAGACCATTCTACATCCCTTCATCACTGTTGATCCCCATACTTACCTGTTTCCAGATCAGAACCAGCGCCAGACCTCAACAAGTTCAACAAGAGCCAACGAGTACAGATACTCTCTGCGTTGAAGAGGGCACTTCTCTTAGCCTGCTGCCTGTCTCACTCATCCCGATAGACTAAACAGAGAGAGAGAGAGAGAGAGAGAGAGAGAGAGAAGAAAAAAACATTCTTCCATCATTGATGGCTGACGGGTGCAAAAATAACTATAACTTTTGGCATACTCGTGTTCGTGCAGAAGAAGAAGCAGAAGTTCGGTGTTGGCAGGCAGGTGGGGCGCGTTGGGTGGCTGTCTGCAAAGTTTTCCTCTTTCGATGCTCCATCATATCGACGTAAGGGGAACAAGAAGAGGAAAGTCACCTTCCATTAGACTGACAGGTAATCGGTTCACTTCGGTTTCGTTGCCACTTCCTGCCGGCGATCACTTTATCATGATGAGGAGGGATATGCCAGGGAGCGACGTGTGTATACGTTGCTGAACTTCATAGTGGTTCATTAATTTTAATTACTTCAACCACATGAACAAACAAGCCCCCAGCAGCTTTTGATGGAACTGAAGTGCGAAGGAAACAGCTCTCTTGAAGCGGTGGCTCTCTGGTGTCCAAAGAGGTTTTGTCCCCTCTGAGTGAAGTGGTGAGACATCCATCGTGGACTAGAGGACGGTGTACTTTTCCGGAAGATGATTTAATTAAAAAAAAATCCCATTTGCATTCATCTTGATAAAAATTTCCTACCTTGTTCTATTCATCCTGATTTTAACATGGCGTCCTGCTGATTTCGAATCTTAAAATTTACAAATACCATTCCCAGCATTTACATTGTTTCTTAAGCTTTGCTCACTAAAGACAAGTAATGGTACAAAACTTCATCCACTTTCGGGTTCTACATTTTGAGATTTTTACGTACCAAATTGCGAGGTGGTGGACTTTTTCGCACTGCCTAATCAAGTCTCTTCCATCTGGAGCACATTCTCGAACACAGTGTGTCTCCACTCCAAACAGATTGCCTCGCCACAAAGGATGAACCGAACGGGTGAAGTAAATTGATGTCCTCCTAGAACGAACTTTCACTGCCGTGTTTCTTTCGGATTTGAGATAGAGATGCCTCCCCTGTTTTCACCTTCGCATGACTATATAAAACCCTGCGTTGTGTTATTAATTGCGGTGCAATTCCGAAAGACATTGCCAACGATTATAGAGAGGAGAAAAGCTTGTGTCTTTTGCCGGGTTCGAGTATGCCATTTTGCACACGTACCGCAGTAAATTGGATCTCCATTGTTTGCCACCAGGATGATGAGGACAGCAGATTTTAGTGTGATATAAATTGTAACATTTTTCTGCGGGACTTATCGCATTTAGCAAAACAATTTCAGTAACTCCCGAACAGGGAAACTTTGCTTTCATTGTTGCACCACGAAAGTTTTCCACTCACCGTCCGACTGTCGGTAAATCCGTTGAATGTGGACTCATAATTTCAGTCAATGGGAAAGTTTAAGTCCGGATTTTCATACAAATACACTCATCTACCTGCAGTTCGTGATAACATAATATCCCACATGCAAAAGCTCTTTTCTCCGGCCACGTGTGTGGGACTTTCAGGCTCATAAGTTCGTGGGGAGTGATGTGATTGAAGCCCTTGGTGATGGGTTGTGATGAAACTCGGAACAGGACATTATTAAACATTTATTTGCGTGCCTTGCTTTAGGTTGTCAGTTCTTGTATGTACTATATATATAATAATAATAATAAGCCAAATAGCTTGGATTCTGAAGGATGTACTCTGGGGGCCGGAAGGCATTTCATTTGCAGCTGGCTGCTCTCCGAACACAGGTTGATCCATTTTTATCATATCCAATTTGGCAGAGCTCACAGATCGAGCCGAAGGGTGTATCTTCGCAGGGAGACGGGCTGTGAACGAACGAAGCAAATTTGTTTAATGATGACATGTGCTTCGAATGGAATTGGCAATTGAGCTGTTCTGCTGAACAAGGTAAATCAATTGGTACGACATTTCTACAGCATGAGAGTTAATTCCGATTTATACATGTGGCCAGTGTTGCCAAGGAATGCAAAGCAGTTCGAATTCATAGTGTATGAATCCGCATCATTGCATATCCTATCATGTAAGTTCATTTCAGTTAAACAATATTCTTGAACATTTATTAAAATTGTTCTTTATTCCCATTTGTTACCCGGTGGGATAAACTCGAGTGCGCTTGATCTTTTATTTGTTTTGTGCGTTTGGGTAGAGTGATGAGTTAAACTTTTAATCAATGTTGAAACAGTAGTTCTTCCGATAACCCACCATAATTGTGAACGAACGACATTAAGCGGCTTAAAGTTTTCTTTTTCGACGGCGATCAAGCGTCTGAAAAAGATTCAGCAAAGTTGGACGATCGGGTTCGTTCGACATTCTCTTTTAAAAGCTTTTTCGTTCACCTCACGTTCGGCTTTTCGCATGTATTGGTATGTTCTGAAACGTACCGACCCGACGACGAGCTATCAACCTTCGTCAATGAAAAAGCTTCGTGTTTTTTTCATTCATTTCGCGAGCATTGGCCTGTTCAAAACCGCATTTGCATTGAAAAAAGTGAGACGCGTTTTCCATCTGTGTTTATAAGTGTAAAACTATCAAATAAGAGTAGTTAAATTTGAGAAAGTTGGAGCAAATAACCATGACTACAAAATATTCGACGAGGTATGAGAAGGATTATCCATGGAGCGCGCCGGATCCCAAAGTACCGACTGCTGCTCGATGCACCTGGTGCAATAAATCATTCAAAATTGATACGATGGGAAGGGTGGCCTTTGGGAGTCATGAAAAAAGCAAAGGCCATCAGCATCAGGCTGCAGCACGTCGCTCAAATTTGCCGATCAGCAGCTTATTTGGAACGAATGGTAAGCTCCGAAATAACACGCTTGATCATACCACAATGCACTGAAACTTGCAACGAAGCTTCGATTATTGTTTTCGTTGCTATCGAATCAAGTTCATCATGTGCTGAGACTTTAATACAAGAATTCTATGAATTGAATACTGATCTTCTATCTCAAATTTCAGATCGTTCAACAAATGATAAAATCATATCTTCAACTTCAAGTTTGACTGTCGATCCCAAGGTGAGTACAACTACCTTGGTCGATCCAATTCAGACAAATGCTTCAACATCATCTGAAGTGGCAGTAGGCGCCAATCAGGCTGTCATGAAAAAGTATTTTTTAAACAATTCGGTGACGTCCGCTGAAATTTTATGGGCACTTGAAACTGTGGCCCTTGATGGAGATGAGCCGCACCAAAGATGGTTATTTCATTCAACACGGTCTGGAACCTTACTTCAAGAAGATCTTACTGACCAAAGTTGAAAGTTGCTCCGAGGTCGTCCTTGGATTCGACGAAACACTGAACAAAATTGCACAACGGCAGCAACTTGATGTAAGCATTCATTTTTGGGATGAAGACAAGCAGGAAGTACAGACAAGATATGTAGGCTCAGCTTTCCTATCATCGACACGAGCGATTGACTTGATGAGTGGGATCAAGAAGTGTTTCGAAGCATATCCCGGACTGTTGAAAAAAATTATTCAGGTGTCTATGGATGGACCCAACGTGAACTGGCGACTCCTTAACGATCTGTCCTCCGAATTGCAAGAGATGCGTGAGAGCAGTTCCTTCAGTCTACTCAGCATTGGCAGTTGCGGTCTTCATGTAGTGCATAATTCGTTCAAGAGCGGTATGCAGAAAACGGACTGGAAGATCGATCAGTTTCTGATGTCGTTGTACTACCTGCTAAAAGATGTTCCCCTAAGACGTGCTGACTTTATAGCAGTTACTGGTAGCACCATATTGCCGCTCAAATTTTGCGGAGTCAGGTGGGTGGAAAACCAGCGAGTAGCAGAACGAGCTCTAGATTTGCTTCCTCATCTGCGAACATATGTGAAGGCAGTAAAATTTCAACAAGAGTCAAAACGAAAAGAAAGTCATCCCGATTTTAGGAGAAGCTTTAAGGCGGTTTACAGCTCCAACGCGTTTTAAGTGGTGTTCCAAGCGGTATCGGATCAGCTCTTTGGACCTAAATTGAGCTTTTTTGTAGCTGCAGCGGCAAATGTGGAACCATTTTTGAAAGAATTTCAGGGTGATGCACCACTTGCTCCCTTTTTGTACGATGAACTAACAAGCCTAGTTCAAAATGCGATGCAGAGAGTGGTGAAGCCAGACCGCCTTAAAAAGAAACCTAAAGCGCTAACGGAGATTGACTTAAATCAGGACTACCTTCTTACATCAGCTGAAGTAGACGTGGGATTTGCTGTAAAAGCGGCTATCAAAGCGGAAGGAATCCGTGAAAAAATGTCTGAACAACAACTCTTGGTGTTTCGCAACGACTGCAAAAACTATTATGTTGCATTTTTGACGAAACTCCTCGATCGTTCGCCACTTCGATATGCTCTAACAAAGTATATTTCTTGTTTAAGTCCATCTGTCATTTCAAACTCCCCAGATGTAGCCAAGAAACGACTTGAGTTTTGTTTGGAACATATGGTGGAGAAAGATCATTTGGCTGGAGCTGTTGCGGACAAGGTAAAGGATGAATATTCGCAAATTTGCACGATGGCCTTCTTCAAGTTAATTGCTTCAGGATATCGCAGACAGGAGACACGGGTCGATCATTTCTGGTTGAAGGCAATTGCTGATTCTGGAAAACAGCTTCCGAATTTGGCATCGTTTGTCAAGAAGATATTGATAATATCTCACGGAAATGCAGCCCAGGAGCGCGGATTTTCCGTCAACAAGGAGTGCCTGGTGGTAAATCAATCCGAGGAAAGCCTGGTAGCACAACGCACTGTACATGATGGGATTTTAGCGGCTGGTGGTGTGACCAACATTCAAGTGGACAAGCAGCTTATTCAGTACTGTCGAAACGCCCGAGGTCGGTACCAGGAATTTTTGGATGCAAAGCGAGCTGAGGGGATTGCAAGCGATAAAGAAGCTAGCCGAAAGAGGGAAGCGGACAAAGCAATAAAAGAGCTGGAAATGAAAAAGGCTAAACTTTTGGCAGACGCAGAGAAAGAGGCTGCTGCTTTGGACGTTAAACTAAAAGAGCTGAGAAAGTAAGGTGTAATATTAAGGTTTCTTTTTAAATATAAACTAATTCGACCATTTTGTATGGAACATAAACATATTTTCCTATTATTTTTGTATCTTCATCTGGATTCAGCTATGAGTTTGGTTTTCTGTTTTTGTGGATGAAAATCGAAAACTTGCTTAGTTATTTTCATTTTATTTTGTTTGAGGCAAACCGGGAAAATATTAATGTTTTAACCGAAAAAAAACCGGGAATTTCAAAATAAAAATTATGTGGCCATCCTGGATGAATTTTTAAAATTGTGGTACCTCTAGAATTCCTAGGGTCTGTAGATTATTTTGATTGTCAAAAGATTGAAAATAGGGTCGTCTACTTTTTATAAAGCGAAAAGAGTCGTTACACGTTTTTTTTAAAGCTGTGTTAATGGGTTTTACAAGTAGCTTAAGATCTATAGACCAGGCTCGGTAGCTCAGTGGTTACCGTTTCTGCTTACTGAGCAGAAGGTCGGGAGTTCAATCCCAGGCCCGTCCCCTTCCTTGCAATTTTTCACTTTGCCTTATTCTCTATACCCACTAGATTTTAATGAAAACAAATTCTTCTTTAACACCGATCGCATCACTTACCACAGTGTGGGTCTTGATCTAAAAATAGAAATTTGATGAGTGCGCGCGCGTGTGTGTGTGTGTGTGTTAGTGTATTATAATCGCTCTACCAAAAACGATCCCTGCGTGTGCGTGTGGAACCTTTCCCCCATCCAACATCCCAGTGATTTCTCGTGGAAGTGCAGAGGATTTCTCGGTTTTCTTCACAGCGAGTACCACGTCAACACATTCCTTCTTATTCCCTAGTTGATCTGCATTCGGACACGGCCGGCGCTGGTATTGCTAAATATTAGATCACCAGTTCTTGCACATTGAGGATGAATGTTAGTCCCAAACATCATCTGTTGGTTCTCTGTGTAATTGAAGCTGATCTGGTAATAACAGAACAGCAACCGTGGGCAGTCAATCATGCTTCATGCATGCAAGTAGCTTAAGATCTATAATTTAGATTTAGAGTCATGGTTCCTATATATGGATCCTGTAGACAACTAAACAGTCCTCCGGAACATCCGTAAAACTACAGAACTGTGATATTAGAAAGAAATTGGGGTCGTGACATAAACATAGTTCCGGATGGCCATGGGGTCGTCCTTCGCAAAATCCGAAACATCCGTAAAAGTGGTCCATCCATGAAACTGATCGTAGAGTTGAGCTCCGCAGTTTGTATAAGAAAAAATTGAGGTCATGACATAAATATAGATCCGATTGGTCATAGGACCATCCTCCGGAAGATCCGAGACATACTCAAAAGTGGTTCATCCATGAAACTGATCCTAGAGCTCTGCAGGTTTTGCGAAAACACGTGGAACGTGATATAAGAAATAATTTGAGGGTGGTGACATAAACATGGACCCAGTAGCGGCGCCGGTGGTGTAGTGGTAAGCGTGATTACCTCTCACCCCAGCAGGCCTGGGTTCAATCCCAGTCGGCGCCGCCGAGATGTCCTGAGGCATAACATCTCTGATCACGCCTTCCTTCGGATGGGAAGTAAAGCCGTTGGTCCCCGGTTCATGAGTTGATGGGTCGATAGGTAGGGTCCAGGTGTGGGAGCTGCCTTCCTGGCGTCGGTAGCATTGGTGCTCAGCACGGAAAACAAGATCGACGGAAAACAAACCAAAGGAAAAAAAAAAAAATAAACATGGACCCGGATTGGCATCATGAAGTGCATCATTCTTTCATATATAACAGTTCCACCGTGGAACTCTTGGATCAGTTTTATGGATTG